TTGGTCCAGTAGTGAGGATTTTTGTGTTCTTTACATTGAGATGTAATCTATACTGAAGGCTGTGCTCTTTGATCTTCATCAGTAAATGTTTTAAGTCCTCTTCACTTTCAGCAAGCAAGGTTGTGTCATCTACATATGGCAGGTTGTTAATGAGTCTTCCTCCGATCCCGATGCCATGTTTTCCTTCATAGAACCCAGCTTCTCGGATGATTTGCTCAGCGTACAGTTTGAATAAATATGGTGAAAGAATACAACTCTGTCGCACACCTTTCTTAATTTTAAACCATTCAGTGTTCCCATGTTCTGTTCGAACAACTGCTTCTTGGTCCAGGCGCAGATTTCTCATGAGCACAATTAAGTGTTCTGGAATACTCATACTTCGCAATGTTGTCCATAGCTTGTCCTGATTCACACAATCAAAAGCCTTTGCATAGTCAATAAAGCACAGGTAAACATCTTTCTGATATTCTCTGCTTTCAGCCAAGATCCATTGGACATCAGCAATGATAGCCCTCATTCCACGGCCTCTTCTGAATCTGGCTTGAACCTCTGTAAGTTCTCTGTCAATGTATTTCTGTATTACCTTTAGTAAAACTTTACTTGAATGGGATAGCATAGATATTTTCTGATGATTTCTGCATTCTGTTGGGTCACCTCTCTTTGGAATGGGCACAAATATGGATCTCTTCCAATCAGCTGGCCAGAGAGTTGTCTTCCAATTTTCTTGGAATAGTTGAGTGAGTGCCCCCTGTGTCACCTCACTTTCTTGAAAGATTTCAATTTTTATTCCATCAATTCCTGGTGCCTTGTTTTTTTTGCCAATTCTTTCAATTTACCTTGGACTTCCTCCTTCAGTATCATTGGCTCTTGATCATATGCTACCTCTTGAAATGGTTGAACGTTAACCATTTCCTTTTGGTACAGTGACTCTGTGTATTCCTTCCATCTTCTCTTGATGCTTTCTACATCATTCAATAGTTTGCCTAGAGATTCTTTCAATAACAAAAATCGAGGCTTGAATTTTTTTTCTTCATATCCCTCAGCTTGAGAAATGCTGAGTGTGTTCTTCCTTTTTCATTTTCTGACTCCAGATCTTTGCACATTTTGTTGTAATATTTGGCTTTGTCTTCGTGAGCTGATCTTTGAAATTTTCTGTTCAGCTCTTGGGCTTCCTCATTTCTTCCACTTGCTTTAGCATCTCTATGCTGGAGAGCAAGTTTCGGTGTCTCTTCTGACATCCATTTTGATCTTTTCCTTCTTTCTTGTCTTATGACTTTTTGCTTTCCTTATGTATGATGTTCTTGATGTCATCCCACAATTCTTCTAGTCTTCAGTCTTTAGTGTTTAATGTATCAAATCTGTTCTTCAGATGATATCTAAATTCAGGTGGGATATATTCAAGGTCATTTTTGGTTCTTGTGGATTTGTTTTCATTTTCTTCAGCTTCAGTTTGAATTTGCATATGAGTAATTGATGGCGTCAAGTGTGGCAGCGGTAGTGAGGTTGGCCCAGGATCAGACATTGTTTCGTTCTGCTGTGCATGGAGTTGCTATGAGTCGGTTCCGACTCAATGGCACCTGACAACAACAACAATTGATGGTCTGTTCCACAGTCTGCCCCTGGCCTTGTTTTCACTGATGACATGGAGCTTTTCCATCTTCTCTTTCCACAGATGTAGTCAATTTGATTTCTATGTATTCCATCTGGCGAGGTCCATGTGTATAGTCGTCTCTTAAGCTGTCTAAAGAAGGTATTTGAAAGGAACAAATCATTGATTTTGCAGAATTCTATCATACATTCTCCAGCATCATTTCTATCACCAAGGCCATATTTTCCAAATACTGATCCTTCCTCTTTGCTCCCAAGCTTTGCATTCCAATCACCAGTAATGATCAATATATCTTGATCGCATGTCTGATCGATTTCAGATTGAAGAAGTTGGTAGAATTCTTCTGTTTCATCCTCACTGGCTTTCGTGGTTGGTACATAATTTTGAATAATAGTGGTATTAACTGGGCTTCCCTGTAGGCGCATGGATATTATCCTATCACTTACAGCATGACTGATCTGGATACGTTCTTTTTGATGATGAATGCAACACCATTCTTCTTTAATCTGTTATTCCCGGCATAGTAAACCACGTGGTTGTCAGATTCAAAATGGCCGATACCAGTCCATTTGAGCTCACTATTGCCTAAGATATTGATGTTTATGCGTTCCATTTCATTTTTGACAACTTCCAATTTTCCCTGATTCATACTTCGTACATTCCATGTTCTGATTTTCAGTGGATGTTTACAGCTGTTTCTCTTCATTTTGAGTTGTGCCCCATCAGCAAATGAAGGTCCCGCGGGCTTTTCTCTCACAGGCTTTACTCCATTTGCATCATCATGGTCAACTCTACTTTGAGGAGGCAGCTCTTCCCCAGTCGCATTTTGAGTGCCTTCCAACCTGAGGGGCTCATTTTCCAGCACTATATCTGGTAGTGTTTCTCTGCTATTCATAATCAGGGACAGGGCATGTTAATATGGCGGATAAGAGGGAGGTTAGCAGAGGAAAGATTAAGGTAGAGGGAGATGCAGGGAGGAATGCAACAGTTAAGTGAATAGAGGTAAATATTTGTAACTGTTGATCCGTGCAAGGGATTCAAGTTTGTAGTGATTTGTTGAATGTAAGACTGAGAATCTGTTCTGTAAACTTTCACTCAATTCACAATAAAATGTTAGAAAAAAGAGTGACGATCCTACCAGCCTTCCCCCTAACCTGTCTCCTGCCAACTCTTCTCCCACCTCTGCTGCTGTGTCTGGAAGTCCCTTTGGGATTCAGACTCAGGGGCCAGGCACAGAGATGTAAGGGCTGCAATGGTGGTGGGGCCCTGCTATGCAACCCTTTTCCCTGTTGGTGCTTGGTTGCTTCCCAGGATGGAGAGCTCACAACCACTATGACTTTCTTAGACTTGGAGACCCGACAGAAGTGCTCTAGCAGAGAGAACGCCAAATGCGGGTGCCCCCAGGGCCAATTTTGTGTGAGTAAGGATATAGACTCCTGTACCATGTGCCAATCCCACAGCGTCTGCAGATTGGACCAGCGAGTACTGAGGGAAGGTGAGTGGGCAGATGCTAAGCGCCCACCCCCGGGGTTTTCCTTAAGGGACCAGCAGGAGGGAGTCAGTGTCACTATAACACCCTCTGCCCCATATCCATCCTGTGCAGTCCCAGCCTCACTTTAGGGCATGACCCCAGCAGCTGGGCTAGGGCCAGGATTCATAGTCATGTGGTTGTGATCAGTGCCAGTCTTCCAGCAGACCACAAGATAGAGGTTTATGGGTCCAAGTCCTGGTCCTGGGCCGGTGCCCAATATGGGGCCACCTCCCTGCATACCTGTGAGATGACATGAAACAGTAGTCTGGATAAATCCCAGCCTCCTCATCTCCAAGACTTCAGAACCTGCCTCTGAGGTCCTCCCTGGGAGCAGCCTCCTCAGCCTCCCAGACCTCTCTGCAGGCCCTAAAGGTAGAGACAGACCTAGACCACACACAGGGGAGTGGAGAGAGCCACCACTCTGCTACCTAGCCCTTCAGCCCTATCCCCACTTCCTCAGGCTCTGAGTGGGAGGATACGGTATGTGAAGACTGCCCACCTGGGACCCAGTCTTCCCTGAGCCACATGGACGAGTGTCAGCCCTGGACCAAGTAGGTGACTCTGGCTATCTCAGGCTGGGGCCCCTAAGCCTGTGATGTGCCAGTATCTCTTTGGACTGGACCTCATGGGTCACAAATGCCATCCCTATCAGACCAGAACCCCAATATCAGCAGTGTTTGGTTTTCTGGGAGCCAAGGGGTGCACTTGACCTGGAACTGGCCTCAAGGGATGTCCCGTGGCTCTAGGGATGTCACCAGTGTCAGGTCAAGGGGTTCCAGAGCTTCTCAAGCTGGGAGCTGCTAAGTTGAGGATCTCAAAGTGAGGGTCCTGCACAGGACCCCATAAATGCAGATCCCTGGGCCCCAGAGGTGACCTGGGACTCAGAGCCCCTCTTGTGGGTCTTGGGTCCCCCTGCCCCTCTCTTCTTCCCCAGCCCATCCCGTGCCCTCTGGCTCCCTGGCCCTTTTCCCTCCTCGCTTTCTCAGTGGGTCCATCCCCCATCCTCTAGGTTTCCTCTCCTCTCCATCTCCCATGGTGGGTCTGGAAAGGCCGGACAGACCAGAGCTTTCCTCAGATTCAGATCACTGCACCTGAGAAAGTCCTTAGACCCCATCACTGAGAATGGGAACATAGCCCCTTCACTCTTCTTCCATAATTTCAGTGACTGGCCAAAGATGGAGGACAGGCCTGGAACCAACACCACTGATACCACCTACTCCTGGAAATTATGGTTCTGTGTCATTCTTGCTAGTATTATTATAATAGTTGGTTCAATAATCTGGTTCCGGAAAAGACGCAAACGGCCACCTGGTGAGTAGCACCTGCCCAAAGGACAAGGTCTGGCTCCCAGTGATCACTCTCACGATCTTCCTAATGCTGCCCCAACACCAGAGATGGAGGATCCCCAGGAACACTTCCAGGAGCTGAGGGGCTGTCCTCGGTGGTGGCCACCACAGGGTTGGGGAGGTATGCATGCTGCTGGCTGAGCCCAGATGCCTTGCAGGGCTCAGGGTAGGGAAGAAAAGACAAAGCTGCCTCTTGCCATTGACTTGCCCCTCCCCCCATGGTGCAGAAATGGAGGGATGCACAAGGCAAGTTGTGAGAGTGTGTGGGAGGCTCCAGGGCTGGGAGGGCTACTCCACAAGGACAGGGCTGTCTCTCTACTGATAGGACTGTGTACCATTTGCTCACTCATGTGCTTGTTTACCCACTCCAAACTGGGGGCTGGGATCTGCTGGGATCTGGGAGAGTCTGTTCTCAAATACGGAAGGAGGGTCACTGAGTCAGGGAGCCCAAAGCAGATGTGGGCAGCCAGATTCTGGAGCCTTGATGTCAGGAGACTCTGAGTCCCCTAGGCACATGGGATTCCTTATGTCTCAGGGAAACTGAGGCAGCTGTCCCTTCTCACATGTCACTTTGTGACATCCCTGCTCCTGGAGTGAGGCAGGGAGTGCTTGTTTGTAAAAGGGTCTTCCCACTCCCCACCTTGTTCTAACAGTTAACTTCAAGTAAGTTATAAGTATAGAGATGTCAGCTTGGCGGGGAGCTCAGGGCACCCTCTCACGTCCACTCTCAAGGAGTCTGGTCCACACGTGGTCTTGCTTTGTCCTCCAGGGGTTCAGTCTCCTGGGAAAGGCCACCAGTGAGGAACCTAGCTCTCCCTGCAAGCTGTCAGTCTCCCAGCTCTCTCCAACCCCCACCTGTGCCATCTGCCTTCTAGTCTCTGACTCCCTAGCTTGGCCACCCTTGTCATCTGTTTCTGATGCCTGTGCTCTTTGTGTTGCAGGGCGATCAGCCAAGAAGAAGAGCTCTTTCCAGGTATTGCCTCTCCCAGTAAAGTAGGAGGTTCTGCAGGGGTGGGGTGAGCCCCGGGTCCCCAAAGATCCCGCATCCTTTTACTGCTGTGCTGCTGTGGATGGCGACATGCCTCACATTGACTTTCTCCACAGTTCTGTGCAAACAGAGATGTTGAGACTGAGGAAGCCCTACACATTGGGCCAAATGCCACTACAGCGTCTGTGAAAGAAACTGAACCCAGTGGGAGCGTCAGCTAAGCAAAGACCCTGGGACCCAGATATTGAGACAGGTCATGAGGATGGCATTGGTTGCTGTGGCCAGAAGAACTTGGTGGGGACCTTACCTGGGTCTGCCAGAAGGAGCTCCACTATACAGGAAAAGACAAGAGTCTCAGCCTAGGTGACATGTGGACAGCCTAGCACTGGTACTATTCAAGATGGACGTACAAACTATGGAAAACATTGTAAAGAATGGTATTCCAGAACACTTCATTGTACTTGTAATGGTTAGGGTTTTGTGCCAAGTTGACTGGGCTAGGATTTCTAGAGGTTTAGCAGGTGGAATGTGCTTATTCCCATGGTGATAAAACCTAATGCAGGTTTAGTAAACTCTGTGATGAGTGGGTGTGAGCCGTCAACCAATTGAAAGGATGCTTCCTTGGAGGTGTGGCCTGCTCCCAATATAATAGACATGGGAAAGGAACTCTGTCTCCTGCTTGGGAACCTGGGACCCTACAACTGTAAGCCATTTCCCTGGTAATAAACTTGTCTTTGTAAATATACATATATATGTTTCACTGGTTTTGCTTCTCTAGAAATCTTGGCCTGAGAGAGTGCTCATGAGGAACGTGTACACAGACCAAGAGGCAGCTATTTGAACAGAACAAGGGGACACTGAATGATTCAAAATCAGGAAAGGTGGGTGCCAGGGTTGTACCCTGTCACCATACTTATTCAAGCTGTATGTTGTGCAAATAACCTGACAATCTGGATTATATGAAGAAGAACGTGACATCAGGATTGGAGGAAGACTCATTAACAACCTGCAAAATGCAGATGATACAATCTTGCTTGCTTCAAGGGAAGAGGACTTGATGAAGTTCAAACACTGCAACCTTCAGTATGAATTGTACCTATATGTAAAGAAAACAAAAGTCCTTACAACTGGACCAACAAATAACATCATGATGAATGGAGAAAAGATTGAAGTTGTCAAAGACTTATTTTTGCTCGGATCCACATCAACATAATGGAAACAGCAGTCAATAAATTAAATGTCGTATTGCATTAGGCAGAGAAGCTGCAAAAGACCTTTTAAAAGTGTTAACGAGCAAAGATGTCAGTTTTATACTAAGGTGCACCTGACCCAAACCATGGCATTTCCAATCACCTTATACATATGTGAAATTGGACGATGAATAAGGAAGACTGGAGAAGAATCTATTTCAAGCATGGTGCTGGTGAAGAATGTTAAACGTCCTATGAACTACCAGAACAACAAACAAATCTGTCTTGGAGGAAATACAGCCAGAATGTTCATTAAAAGTGAGGATGGTGAGACTTCATCTTTCATTCTATGGACACGTTGTCAAGAAGAATCGGTTCCTGAAGAAGGGCATCAAGCTTGGTAAAGTGGGGAGTCAATGGAAAAGAGGAAGACCCTCATAGAGATGGCACAAAAGCAAAAATGATGGGCTTAAACGTAACAACAATGGTGAGGATGGCATACGACCAGGCAGTGTTTTCTTCTCTTGTGTATAGGGTTGCTATGAATTGGAACTAACTCAATATCACCTAACAGCAACAACAGTGGGTGAAGAGTGGGCTAAAAGGGACCTGGAATTAACATCTCTCTGAGAAGTCATTTTGTGTCATTCTGACATTGAACATTATATTAATGTTTTACAGGGTTTGTGGAAGAGTGAAAAACTATTACATGGCTTTCCACCATGGTCTGATAACTCCCACAAAATTATTAGGTGGAGCTATGCAAATAAGGTGCTTGTGGCTCACCAAGGGCAAATGCAAATAAGGTATATGGATCCCTTGTAGTGGATTGGCTAATTTTATCATCCTGCTAGGCTTAAAGGGAGCCCATCCCAGAGGTTGGAGGGAGACCTCACTACCATCAAGGAGAACCAGAAGTGGAGTGTGTCCTCTGGACCTAGGATTCCTATGCTAAGAAGGCCTTTGAACCAGGAGACAGAGAGAGCTATAACAAGACAGTGAGAAGTGGTAGCAAGCCTGGGGTGAGACAGCATGATGAATTTCCTGACCCAAAGAGCAAGAGAATGTAGTGCCTTCAGGTAGGAGGCTTGCTGATGGAGTGAGGTGTCTCTGGGCACTTACTGGAGCTAAAGAATTGTGTAACACTTTCATGAGGCCTGCCTTGAGCAGAGGCCTGGCCCAAGCCATAGCTGAAGCCAAACATGAAGGCCCAGATTGAGAATGAGGACCCTGGTGGAGAATGCGGGCCTGGTGGCAACAGCTGAGAAGATGCTCTTTTGATTGAAGAAATCTATCCTGAATTATTCCTGTTGATTCTGATCCTAAATTATAACCAGATACTCCTTTAATAAACCCCGTAATTGTGAGTCTGGTCTGTTGGTTTTGTGTGGCCTTTGCAACAAAGTATTGGACCTAGCAGAGAAATCAGAGCTCTGTGCTTGTATCAGCATTGGTAAAAAGGTTGGAGAGTGGAAGTTTGTCTGACCTCCAGCCCACAGGAATCAGTTTGGGGCTGATGCTGATTCTCTCTCCTTCCCCTGAAGTTAGACGAGGTCTGATGCCATGCAAGTTTAACAGGGTTACAAACAAACAAACATTACAGAAAGATGTATGAACAGGCAAACGAATATAAATATATAAAAACAAAAGGATTGGGCAAAAACCCCTAAAACAGAATTCAGTCCTTGACCTTGAAGTTCAAACTGACTTTGCAGTCCAGCACATTAGCCCACAATGCCACACCGGGAGTAGTACTGGGACCCCACAAAACACTGCTGTACTTTCTGGCTAAAGAAAAGCACTGACCACACACACAATCACACCACCTGACCCCTACCTGCCCAGCCCCAGTCATGATGCTGAGTGAGGGCATTGGGCAGGAGGATCACATGATGGCTGGCTTCTGACTAACTCCCTGCCAAGAAATCACATCTGCGGGCCCAGCAAGCAGATGGCTTGGGGTTGGCACATGGCACAGGGGCCTGAGTCCTCACTGATTCGATGCAGTAGTGGTTCTGGGGGCAGTGCCTCCCCAAGTCACTAGGCCCGAAGCTGTCAGTTCAGAGAAGAAGTCCATAATGAGCCATGCCAGGCTAGTGGTGAGCACCTTGTCCTGGAAAGGGACCAGGAGAGGCAGCTGAGCACTAGCAGGTCTCAGGAAGAGTGGAGGAGCTCTTGTCTGGGTCTGGAGTGGGAGTGGGGGCAAGGCTGACAGTGCCCGAGTTGGCCTTGTAAGTCCTGGTGTCTGTATGTCTGGGCTCTGAACTTATGGGCCCCTGTTAGGCTGCATCTTGGGTGCCCAGACGTGCCCGACAGATCCCTGGGTCTGAGTCTCGTAGGTACTCCTAGACACAGCAGCAGGGTGGGAGAAGGGCTGGCAGGGGCTCCCTGGAGAGGTGCTTACCTCCCTTACAGTCTCAGTATTGCAGACACTGACTGTTGGAATGTGCTGTGCTCTGGGGAGGCAGGGTATATGCATGCTGGTGTTCAGCACACAGACTTGTCCAGTAACCGCTGGCCTGCATGCCTGGAGGGACAGAGGGTCTCAGATTGCAGAAGGTTCCATGGAACTACACATTGTCCCCCACCTCCTCAGTCCACAGGAGTGCTGGGGGATTAGACACCATCTGCTGGGTCTCAAAGGCACACCCCCCAGCCCTGTCCCCGCTGCAATAGCTGCCCACTGTCACCTTGCATGTGCTGTAGCAGAGTCTGGAAGTCCTGGAAGATGGGTGGGCCGCCTGGGCCTGTCTGAATCGGACCACCTTGCTGTGCAGGGTGCCAAGAATGTCATGCAGGGTGAACGTCAAAGCCATATGGAGGTGCCCTGCAGCGCTCTCTGCCTAGGACTACATACCACTCACAGAGCAGGTGCAGTACAGAGATGCTGGCCTCTAGGGCTGGGGCTGGAGGGCTGTCTGCCTGCAGCCCTGAAAAGCTATTCCAGGGACCATCTACCTTCATTACACTTGCAAATGGAACCCATTGGGCACTCCTCCTCTTTGTAAGGGGGCAGAGTCAGAATGGAGCAGAGGATGAAGCAGGGGGGGCGTAGCCAGGGTGAAATGGGGAGGGGTGCCAGGAAGAGGAATGTTGGGGTAGACATTGCCTCACATCTCAGTCTCTCACTATGTGAATTGGGGACAGTGCCTGGTGTGGCTGAAGGGCACTGGGTCAACCTGGGGACCTCTCTCCTCCCCTGACCTTTGCCCATCTGCCTACACGTGGGACCCCCGATAGTATTCCCTCTCTTTGTCTGGGCCTCCAATAAGCCCTGAGCCTCACCAGTGGACCCTTGCAGCACCCCTCACTGTCCTCTAGGGAGTCAGCAGGATGAGCAGGAGGGCCCCCTTCAGAGCAGGAGGGTGGGGGATATTAAGAGCACGATCCTGTTTATCAGGGCTGCAGCAGAAGATCCTTTCTGCAGTGTCCACCAGAGGGCACTGCCCAGCTCTCAGCTTCTCTCCAGCAGCCCAGCCGCAGCTGACCCCAGAAGGGCATAGACAAGAGTTGTGGGGGGCACCAGGTGTGTCTGAGATAGCTGGGCAGCTGGAGACAAAGTCCTGATGAGAGGAGGGATGTGGAACATGGCCAGGGCTGAGACCTGGAAGAGGGGCTCTGGGAGGCACACAGGGTCAGAAATGGGGGCAGAAAGGGGAAGGGAACTGGGGGAGTGGGACATGTGGAGGGGGCAGCTACAAGGAATCACCAGCGCCAGGGCATTGGGCTGGAGTGTGGGGCTTCAGGGTGGGGGTGCTCTGAAGTGAAGGTGGGAGGGGAGAGAGACCTTCTGTCTCACTGTGGCTCCTGGTCCCTGCTCAGTCCAACTCTGCACAAACTTACCAATCCCCTCAGCACACCAGAAATCACTCAATTTGCTTAGAGCGCCTGGTGGTGTTGGGTGCCTTCAAGTTGATCCCAACTCAAAGCGACCTTATACACAACAGAACAAACACTTCCAGGTCCTGCGCCATCCTTACAACATTGTTCAGTTTGAGCCCAATGTTGCTGCCACTGTGCCAAACCATCTC